TGCTTTTCAACCTCCAAAAGCAGCTCTGAATGAGCTAATTTTGAAATAAAACAATAAAACCTGATATTTTTCCGTAATAACCCCCTCACCTTGCCCTTCCCCTGGAGGGGCTCGATGGAGAGGCTGTCTCTTTCATCAGTTTGGTTAATAATCCCTCTAAAAATTTTCCATTAAAAAAAAAAGGAATAATCTGTATAAATTAATTTGGGAATCAGATAAATGACTAAAAGAAACAAAAATAAATGAGAATATATCACATTTAAATGTTGAATTCTTGCTTTTCAACCTCCAAAAGCAGCTCTGAATGAGCTAATTTTGAAATGAAACAATAAAACTTGATCATTTTCCATAAAAAAAAGAAATAATCTGTATAAATTCTTTTGGAAATCAGATAAAATACTAAAAACAAATCAGAATATCTCACATTTAAATGTTGAATTCCTGCTTTTCTCCTCCAGAAGCAGCTCTGGTTTCCACTAAATGAGCTCATTTTAAAATAACACAATGAAAACCTAATAGTTTTCGATAAAAAAATTGAAATAATCTGTATGAATTCATTTGGAAATCAGATAAAATACTAAAACAAATAAAAATAAATCGGAATATCTCCAATTTAAACATTGAATTCCTGCTTTTCTCCTCCAGAACCAGCTCTGGTTTCCCCTGAATGATCTCATTTTGAAATAAAACAATAAAACCTGATATTTTTCCGTAATAACCCCCCTCACCTTGCCCTTCCCCTGGAGGGGCTCGATGGAGAGGCTGTCGGCCCCGATGTCCACGATGGTCCCCAGCTGGAACCCGTCTGAGGGGTGCGGCGCCCACACGGGTTTCCCGTCCTCCATCCTGCAGCCGGGCCTCTGGGGGCAAAAGAAACGGACATATTACCTCCTTAAGCTGAGTAATTAAGGTCCTTAAAGCTCCCTAAACAGAGGTCTTTAAGGTCCTTAAACTGAGATATTTACCCCCGTAAACAGAGTATTTACGTTCCTTAAAGTTCCTTAAACTGAGATTTTTATGTTCCTTAAACTGAGATATTTACCCCCGTAAACAGAGTATTTAAGGTCCTTAAAGCTCCCTAAACAGAGGTCTTTACGTTCCTTAAACTGAGATATTTACCCCCGTAAACAGAGTATTTAAGGTCCTTAAACTGAGATATTTACCCCCGTAAACAGAGTATTTAAGGTCCTTAAACTGAGCTATTTATCCCCGTAAACACAGTATTTAAGGTCCTTAAAGCTCCCTAAACAGAGCTCTTTACGTTCCTTAAACTGAGATATTTACCCCCGTAAACGGAGTATTTAAGGTCCTTAAACTGAGATATTTACCCCCGTAAACGGAGTATTTAAGGTCCTTAAAGCTCCCTAAACAGAGGTCTTTACGTTCCTTAAACTGAGATATTTATCCCCGTAAACAGAGTATTTAAGGTCCTTAAACTGAGATATTTACCCCCGTAAACAGAGTATTTAAGGTCCTTAAACTGAGATATTTACCCCCGTAAACGGAGTATTTAAGGTCCTTAAAGCTCCCTAAACAGAGGTCTTTACGTTCCTTAAACTGAGATATTTATCCCCGTAAACAGAGTATTT